CACACACACACACACACACACACACACACACACACACTACACAAATATATATATATATGTATGTATACACATACCTTTTATTACCTTGTAATATATATATACCTATAACGATGTACAAGCGATGAACAAGGATAGAGAAATACGTGCAATAACATTTGTCAAATATATATCTAGTGGCGTGTATTAAATCATCAAAGCTTGTTGTAACAATATTCGTGAAATTGCAGAAGCATCGAGGCGATAACCACATTCGCTTGCTGACAAAACGGTAATAGAGAGCAATTCGCGGAATTAACCACTACGGTCGAGACTTTCGAATTATATGATCTACCGAGTGAAGCTTAATTAAAATTTGAGCTTGCTTTTCCAGCTATTGCGTCTACGTCAGATGTTCCCCAAGAGAAAATTGATGTCGAATATGTCGAATATATCCACTTTTCGTTTTTTACACTCCTTCATTTCGAGGAAGAAGCCTGAGAGAAGAAAATTCGAAGAAGCGAAGAATAAAATTCCACCGTGTCAAGCAAATATTTTCACGTGCAATCTTGCTGAAAAAAAAAAAAACGTAAAAAAATCCACTCGTTATTTCGTGTCGAGCCAAGTGATGCCCGCGATTCCCCGGAAGAGCTACCGCAATGACAGCACTGAGAACAATAAGAGAAGTGAAAAGTCGCGCGTGCAACTTTTTGTTCCGGCGAAACAATTTAATAGATAAACCAGCAAGGTCGTATCAATGCTAAAAATAGGACTTTGCGTTTGTCTTTCGTCGATTTATCGCCGGTTAAATCTCTGCTAGGGGCTGCAAAAGTATCTGTGGCGTCGCTGTGAAAAATGAGCAAAGCGCGAGAGTAATAGGAGAATACGTATATTCGCCGTTCTCCAGCAACGGCATCGTAAATGGGAAGAGTTCGGCGTGGCATCTCCGGGGGTCAGAGAACCGGCAGCGAGTCGCAATGATTCTCGCGTTTCAATTACTACGGGCATCCCTTCCGTCTGAAATCCGACGAATCTCCGCATTGGAGGAAGTGCGTTTGCCAGAGTTCCGAGTCGATGACCCCGCTGCTCCAGGCAGATCAAGCGAGCTGTGAAACTTCAATGATCCGAGAGCGGGTTAATTACACTCGGGTCACTCGTGTCTCGTTAGAAAGAGTGGTACTATATAACTGCCACGAACACGATATTATCGTTAATTAGGCTTGAACGAGCGTGATTATTAGCCCTTCGCGAATATCAAGTTTCATGTAGAACACAACACTTCTATAGATTTTGTGCAATCTAATTCATAAAAATAAATTTATTCACGATGCAGTCGTGAGTTATCGTGAAGCATTTACTTGCATAAAATAAGAAGTATATTCGTATTGATAATAAACTAATAAATATAAATTTTTATAACAAATTTAGCACAAATTTTGATTTAAAAATTAATTTAAATAAATATTTAAATGCTTCGGTACGTCTTCGAATTCTCTTAATATCAATCAGTTGAGTCGATCAGAGTTATGATTTAGACAAAATGCAAATAAAGTACTTTGAAATCGCTTCAAATCTCGTAGAAACAAAAAAATAAATTCTCTACTTCTGGGCTTTTGCTAAAATAATTTTGATGATTAGTGATATCTCGAAGTGGATTCTTAAGTAATCGGTATCATGGATGAAATATTTTAAGACCTCACATATCCGAGAGTTTCTCTATCATCGTAATACTTAATTACACATTAAATTTGATTAGCACGGCAATAATCGCATAGCATCTCGGTTTAATTTTCTAGAACCCATTTAATGTCTTTCCTGGGACCTAAGAATGCCCTGTTACGGGAGAGGATCGATGCGAGCTCTAGCCTAGTTAAAAAGTCATGAATTCTCTCACGAGAGAAAGAAAGCTCTTTCCTCTTTTAAACGAACAAATGGCCTACTTAACGCCAATGAACAAAATGGAAATTGCAATAATAAACATAACTAAATTATTGCCACTAGATAATTACAAGATAAGCAGATCAAATTAGATACAAATAAAATCATTGCTAAAATCTTATAAACATTGCACCTCATTATAGCCCCTTGAAATGAAGCAAAATGAAGCAAATAAAGTTTGCAACTTGTTTATTTTTTAGTGTAAAAATATATCATTTCATTTAATAAGCGTAGGAAAGAAATGTAGAATATTTTAATAAATAAAGTACAAATCCCGAAACAATACAAAGTTTCCTGCAAATAAAATATTAACAAACAATTATAATAAAACCCTGTAGAAAATAACGATTGATGACGGTACGAAGAAAATATTATAACTAGAAAGCCATTTCACTGCGCAATATACAATTGCCTCTCAATCTAAAATACGATTGAGAGAGAAATAAAAGATACGCTTGTAATACACATTCAAATGCTATAAAGCGTTTCACGTTTGCTTCCTTGAGATTCTTAAAGTTACGTCAGATGTGGATTTTCCTTACGACTTAGTTGATGCGATCAAGCTAAAATTTATAGGAAAATAAAAGAAAAATGTACAAGATGTGTAATATCGACTAAATATTTTCCTTTACAAGTAAAATATTTGTACTTTAATTGATATAAGCTTTACAAATATAATATTT